GGGTCTGTTCATACCTCCCACATGTCAAAGCCTGACTTCTGTGGCCACGGGACTGCCCCAGCACAGAACCTGCTCAGTCCCCCCCCGTGCGAGGCTCTTACTGAATTCCACGCTATAGCGGCGGCTGTTGAAGCACTCCGGCTCCGGTCGCATTTACGGCTTGGGGCTTGATGTAATTCATAGAGGGACTTTTCTGCCTGGGTGTGTTGAGAAGCATCCCCCCCCAAAACTGCCACCGTGGTGCTCCCTCCACCGCGGCCCGCTCCCATGCGCTGCAGGTCCCCTGACCTCTGCTGGCTACAGAAGGCAGTTGCAGAGGGTTTCGTGCCTCTTAGGCCATGAGCAGGAGAGCGCCGGTACCAATATGAGTGTGTGCATGTGGCTATAGGTAAAAGTACTTCAGTTGAGTGAATGTAAAACTGCCTGAACCATCACAAACACACACAAAAAATCCACAATTCCCTTTTTTGGGGGGAACCCTTCTTTACTTATTTTACAGGTAATTATTTGGAAGGATAATTGGAGTTTTTTCTAGTTTTTATTGTGTAACTATTGTCTGATTTCGAGTGGAAATGCCCTAAATGATTCGGTTACATGCACTTGCAAAAAGTCACTTTCGTCTACTTTCAGAAAGCAGCCCAGAAAACGTGCTTTAAATGCACAGTGTTGGTTAGGCAGGCAGAGTTCCATATGGCAGTTTATTAATGTTGTTCTATAGGAAAAAGTATCCCCAGAGGATGTAAGCTCTGCCTGGCCATCACGTTTCCTCTCTGATTGCAGTCAATATTATATTTGGCTTGAAATTACCAAGCATAATAGACTGGAGATTAACTAAATCAAGTAAAAATAGGGGAAAAATAAAAGGGGGTATGAAGACCTAAGGATAAAGAGGACACGCTTGAAATTTCCTTAAGGGAAACTTTGCTGCTTCAGGAGCATGGCACTGGAAAGGGAGAGGATCTCTGTAGTAGGGGACAAGTACACTTGTCCTTCCTAAAGGAAAAGAGCTTTTTCCATGGTCTGGAAAACCACGTAATAAATGATGTTGAGCTATCCTGAGATCCAGACTCAACAGTGTCCACAGCCAGGCTGATCTACAGGTTGCTGATGTTAATACATGCGATGATTCCCTCTGACTGAACGAGCTGTCTCTTAATTGGACAGAGCAGAGCAACCCTGTTGCACTGAAGCAGATAGGCAGGCTGATGAGAAACAGCTGAGATTTCAATAGAGGACCTAAATGTAAGCTTCTGTGAGAGTTTCCAGAGAATTTAAGTCAATTTAATTGATAACCCTTTATTAAAACCATTAACCAATATTTTCTGCTTATCAGAACTGCAAGTGTTTGAAACGCTACCTCAATTTTAGGATCAATCTGGCACTGTTACAAAATACTGGAAGAGCCAAATATAATGACTTCTTTCTTGTGAGAAGTCCTGCAATTCTAAAGCGGGGTCATTCTTCACTGGAAAGCATCAATCGCCTCTGAATAAATAGAAGACACACGGACCCAGCACACTTCCTCCGTATCCTTTGGCAGCATACCTACCTTTGTCATGGCCTCTTGTGCTCAGCTGAACTAAGAATCTGTGCAAGTTTCAAAGCACTGGGATGTTATCCATGGAAATATAAGGAACGACCTTTGCAGAAATGGCTAGGATGCTTTGGAGCAAAGGCCTCTCACATCCTGGCTTCCTTGTGGGATTGTCCTCCAGCTTCTCAGAATGAGTCAGAATTCTGCTGAGTCTGTCCCAGGCCAGATGACCATTGTCAGATTTGGGACTGCAGGAATACACCCTTGGTTTTTGAGAGCTCTGTTAGGCCGCGCTTGGCTGTACAAAGGAAACTGAGCAAATAGCGCTTCTATTATATGCAGTTTCCTTTTATTCCTCGTGCTTGAATAAAAGGATTGTTATTTTTCTTCAGAAGGAGGAACAAAGAGTGGGTAAGAGGCAAGTGGAGGTGCTTCCTTGATAATCAAGCCCTCCTTTTGTCCTTTTCAGTGGAGTTTTATTTGCAGATGCCTGTTCTGCACAAGCTTTAAAAGGCATCAGCTTCCAACAATGCCGTGTCCTCATTGAGGCTGACCTGGAGAGGACCTCTATTTACCAGATATAAAGCTGCTAATTATTTTGTGTATAGGCCTTAACGTGATTACGGCGAGCATGGACACTGGTTGTTGTTACAGCAATTTGAATTAAATTATGCTTGTGCCGGCATAATTAGGATCGCCCTCCGTTGGGCTTGTATTTTAACGCAGCATCTCAGCAGCTTGGTGAAAACAGCCACAGTTTCACCTTGTGCTGGCTAAAGCATGCGGGCTGCAAGACTGGGATTAAAACAAGGAATTTCTTGAGCAAACCCTGAGGAGGGACGTGTGGGCTTCGTGCAGAGCCCAGCGATGGCTTTCCTGCCCCTCTGAGCGTTTCAATAAGCGCTCATAAAAGAAGGAGGAACTGGAGTTATAAAAACTAAACTCAGGCCAGGCCTTCCTTGTTAAATGAATGCTTTTGCGCAGTGGAAACAATCGTAGTATTCAAGCCCTGCAACACAAATGAGGTAATGAAGTCATTAGGGCTGAGCTAGGCGTGCATGTCGGGGGCATGGGCTGCCCAGGGTCCAGCGGTGCCCCAAGCCTCGGGGAGCCCCACTAAAGCAGGCGGACAGTGGCAGGGTCTTTCGGAAAGCCAAGTGGGAAGATGAACGCAGCAAGGGGATGGATTGGTGCCTTTGGCCAGCACTGGTCCTGCCATGGCCAGGGGGCTCGGGCCCTTCGCAGGAGGGAGGACATCCTCTGAACCCCAGCAGTCCTCCGAGCCGCCCACCAGCACCCCCTCAGCAGCACCGTCCTGCAGCAAGAGGCTGCCTGCAGGTCTCTAACCTGCTGCCATCCCTATGGCTGTACGACTGCCCCGCTGTCTCCATCCTGGAAGCCACACTGCGCCGGCTGCAGCTTTATTGCATGGCTTTGGGAACAGCTGAAGGTGAAAGAGTGCCTTCTGCCTCCTTCCTGCTGCTTTGGAGGACACTTGGTCGAAAGCTCGCTGAGGGCCGCGCAGCTGATGCTTCCAGTGTAAACGCTGCCTCTGCAAGCTGCTCATGGCTGGCTCTGCTCCCAGTGAATTGTCCCCAAGGACAAGAGCAAGCAGGGCATCCCTTCCATGCAGCGGGCCCACAGAAGCCCCATGCCAATCCACTGCCCACCGGTGTGGATACCCAGAGCACCCCCTGAGAAGTGGCAGCAGAGAAGGGATGCACAGGGGGTAATAACTGACATGTGCCTGTCCGAGTCATAAGCGTTGTCAGTGTAGTCAGGAGGGAAAAGGTGTTAAGTTAGTTGCAGGAGCTCCAGCATGAGTAACTCTGACATGTGATTCAGCTTCTAAGAACGATGTTAGTCCATCGGAGGTGTGAGTCTTGTGGTGGCAGCAGGGATGCCTGTGTGGTCAGTACTACAGGGGTCTCACCGAAGCAGAAAATCACTGTGTGATACTTGGTGGGATGCTTGGCTTCCAGAAGCACACAGAAAATAAGCTGAAATCTAGGCAAATGCATTTTGTGTTATGCAGGTACTTAAGGAATTTGTGAAAGCAGGGACTGTAGCTTACTTTCATTTGCAGCACTTTCCTAATTTGGTGTTCTGTACATAGTGTGAAGTCAGTACCGAGCAATAAGGTCAAATCTACTGTACAGACAAGAATCACACATCTACCACATGCTTTCCAGGAACTTACTTGTGAAGTCTTGGAATATATGACCTTGTTAGCCAGGGCTATGTTCTCTGGGATCACGGTAAGCCACCAAGGTGAAAGAGGCTGGGGAGAACCAGTTTGCAGTGAAATTCCTATGCAGCAGAGCTCAGCAATCTGAATGGTCCAAGACACTGTCTCTGAAATGTGGAAGACTGCAACAGCGGTACAGCAGCAAATACAGCTTGCCTGGTTCTTGCTATATTCCATGCCCCTCACAAACAGTAAAATGGAAAAGGCAACATTTTCCTTAAAGGAAAAAGTACTTTCAGGTTTATACTTGAAATATCAATAATTCATTGCCCTAAGGATCAAATACTGCGGGAGGAAAACCTTGCAATCAATAATAATATTTGCAGTTAGGCTTGGTGCAGGGGTTAGGTAGGGTTAATCATGTCTCATCATAACTGACCACCGCATGGCTCGCGGTACATTTTACTCCCACCCCAGAGCCGCGGTGAGGCAATGCCAATGGGGTATTGCTGGAGGGTCAGATTCAAATCCCATGTGCTTCAGTGCTTGTTGAAAACAAGAGCGGGGGAAGACCTTTTCTTGGAATTGGGATCACCACCCCATGGATTGATGCATTCTGCTGTCAGTGAACATCCTCCTCTGTCCAGCTCTTTGTGTTTTGCCAAGGTTATTGGTCCCTGTTTTGCTACAGATTGCATCCATAGCAGAATGGAGTGTCAGACCTGCTTACAGGAGGCTGCCCCATCGTCCTGGAAGCCCAAGAGTCTCAGCAGTGCCATAAAAGTCATTTTACCCATGCAGGGATGACAACACCAACTCTGATGTCTCCCAGAACCTCTGTAAGTGGCGTTATTCTCCCAGCAGTCCAAAGAGAGCTCCTCCTTGGCTCAAATAGGCCCAACATTCAGATTGCAGGGCTTTGCCTTCCCTGGATAATGGGTCCTCTCCTGCTCCAGGCCACACCATCTTTGGCCTCTGGACCCTATTCTTGAAGGAGCCAGTCAAGAGGTGCTGCCCAGCCTCCTGCCCAGGAGCAGGGAGGAAGAAGGGTGATGGAAGTGGAGGGATGCACGTAGTGGGGCTGGTTTGACATGGGCAGCAAAGCCACAGCTACACCTTTTAAAACAACAACCTCTGCTTGTGGCTAAAGCCAGCCCCATCCTCCAACAGCAGGACCCAGCTATGAAAGCTGATGAGGAATCTTAATGATCACAGCAACTGAAGGGGAAAGAGCAATTTCTGATGCAAATAAATTTGGGTAGAATTTTCTATTTCCAGGTGGTACCCAAAACAGGAGCATCCTCCTTCCCTACCTCACCGCAGTGGTCTTTCTCCCATAAGGCTGCTCTGAAGACGATGCAGGTGGGTTATGGATTCATCTGCTATGGGTGTCTCAGCACAGCAAGGCAGGGGGGATCTTCTTGTTGTCAGCAGTCACGGTGACTGCATTTTATCTAGATTCCATCTATGGATCTTAATATAGATCTTTGTTGCACGAGATTGAGTGCTGTTCCTGTGAAAGCGCTGCCTTTTGGAACAACATTTCAATGAGTTTATTATAAGAGCACTCATCAAATGGGGGGGTGGGGGGGGAAACAAGCTATTTTAGGAACTGAAAATGAACTCACGATATGTAGTATTGAGCAGTCTTATAGGCACCTTCAGACTTAGAAAAAAGGTAAAGAATCAGGCTTCAGTAAAAGCAAATGCAGGTCTTTATGTGACGTGTGTCAGTTCCCTGCGGCCCACAGAGATAACGCAGCATAAACCCAACCATAGGAATTTATGAAACAGCTCTTATAAGCTCAGCTGACACTATAGGGCATGGCCTAAAGCAATCCAATAGTGTACCGAAGTAATGTGACACACACTGAGAGGGCACACGTAATAGTCTGGTTTCACTGCCACATTGGCGTGGCACTTTGAGGCGAAGGAACAAACCCAGTCCGGCAGCCGATGCGGTTGGTACTGGTGGGTGTTCTGCACTGACTTGGCTTTTGCTGTGCCTTCCTGAATCAGGGAAGAGCTCTTTGCTGGTAACTCTCGTTCTGTTGGCACACACAGAGGCCGTGCGGTGGAGGCAGCCGGACAGAGACCAGAAATCCTCAGCTATTAATTTCTCTCCCCACTAGATGGCCCAGGTCTCTACCCATGAGCGAGGGAGAGATTCCTTCCCCGCACGTAATCCAGCTCTACGGAGATCCCACGCCGGCAGGGAGGCTCTGCAGGCTGACAGCCCCATAAGGGGAGACCTGCTCCCTGCTGCCCTACCCCTGGCATGGCCGAGGGCTCTGTTTTGGTAAATCACATCCTCTGTATGTAGGTAGAGAGCGATGCTCCCGAGCCCTGCTACCCGTGCCGTTTCACATACAGCTATCCACCGGAGAGCCAGTGCCAATGCTGATGGTGTTTTTTCCAGAAAGCTGCATTTGGAAACTGGTATCCTGGATTTAAAGGCGACTTCCCTGTTTTTACACCATGCAGATATTTCATCTGCGTGTTAGTTTTCCTCTAGCTGCTGCACAGAGACATTTATGCAGTGTTGAGCAGCTCTGACACAACAAAAAGCAGGGTGTATCCTCCTTTGCATCTACATTCACATACTGTTAGGTACCTAACTCTCTCCCCACACTGAAGAGGAAACAACTACCCCCTCCAAAACTACTCCGGCTACATTAATCTGTGAAGATAAGAATATGCAAGTTCCTCTTTGTGCCCCAATCAGGACAGAGTTAAAAATGCAACCCCTTGTAAATGTATTTACTTACAGTTACAGAGCAGGAAGGCCTGGGATATTGCAGGCAAAAAGTGTGATCTCTTCAGCAGTGAGCAAAGCCAACATTTGTTTTAGCTCGAGGAACTCAGATCCAGGTAAACTGGAAAAGCTCACGTTCCCACCCCAAAACCATGCTAAGAAAGGAATCAGATGCACAGTGAGGGAAAAACACTTCTGTTACAGATTTTATGATGTGACCATCTCCTTGCTTTACATCTGCACTGCTCTTGACAGTCTATCAAAATCATGCAGCCTAAGGAGCTCATGTCCTTATGGTGGAGGCATAAAATATACATACACATTATTAAAGTTGCATTAGTTTTGTTCAATCTGCAACACAGGACCTTGGAGGCGTTGTTGCCTTGAAGACCAAACACCGGTTTTGGTAGTTAAGGAGCATAAATGCTAATTCTTTCTCTGATATTCACCTGCCTTGAAACTTCAGCTGTGTCACTTCTGCTGCAGTTTCCTTATTTGCCATGTACAGAGGAAATAGTGGTGTGTTTTGCCTTCCAGGGGTGTCTTGAGCTGTTCATGGCTGAACTCTGCTTTGAATGCTGCTTAATGGCTCTGTGTTTTTAAAACACACGAAGTCCCAGGTTTCAGTGATTCACCTGGTTTTCCCTTGCTCACCCTTGTGAGAGGCTGCGAAGCTGGTCCTGGAGGAGAGAAGAAAGGGATAGCATATGGCAGGGCACGCTGCCTCTCAGAGGGACGCTGCAGCTGCTGCCCGTGTAGAACAGGCTGGTGATGCAGCGAGCCCGGTGCGTGTTGCCCGCAGTGTGCTCCGGAGGAAATGGTAGACATTCTCCCATAATTCAGCCTGTTAGGTGGTCAATGTTATACTACAGGACAGGCTATGCATTCCTGACCTCCTCTGCCATGCATGCCAAGAACGAGGATTAATGGCCCCTGTAAGGACCAGAATAGAAATGGTACTAGCAAATATCAATCTTCTTCCTGTATGTGCTATCCAGATTCATACCTTAGCATAGACCAAGCCTGCTTCTGAAATAGCCCAGTGATCCTATTCAAAAGCACCAAAATCCTCATGCCTGGCTGCACTGTCAATTTAAGGTGCTCCTATCTCCCCTCGGTGCTCTGGAAAGCTCTGTTTGCCCTTCTTCCTAGGCAAAGACCCTTGCCTGCCTCACACATCCTGACAGACCCGGCATTACTGTACTTCATGAACCTCAAAGAAGAAGTATGACCATCTCCAGCCACTATGCATCCATAGCAATTTACCATGGCCATTGCTATGGGGTCTCTGCCACTCAAGCTACTGAAGACATAAACATCCCATGTCTGCTCAAGACAAGCAACCATAAGGTTGATGTGTCCAGCCATGGGTAGTCTGTGGAAAGGCTTGCGATCCTTGGGTCTTAGGAATAAAGGGTTGTGCTAATTTGATTGGCAGCAAAATACAGTGTGTAACATGTGGGCAGTCTGCTGTTGATCAGCTCAGGGGAGCCAAAGTGCAAGGTATAACCTCAATGGAGCTGGTGTAGGACTGCAGCCTTTCTCCCTCTCCAACGTATGTGGCAGGAACCTCTTTTCTTCCTCAGTAATTAGAAGTGAGGCCTCAAAATAAGAAGCCATCAGCATCATACAGCTGCAGTACTGATGTCAGATGTGCATAACCCAGAGCGTGGAGAAAGAAATCAAGAACACATTGCATATGAATAACAACAGGTCTCCATGAAGCCATATGACCGGTCAGTTGGTGGATTAACTGTTTTAGTGGCTGTTCCCACCAAACTGACTCTCCTGAGGGAAAGCAGAAGAGGAAAGCTCTTTTTTTCCCCCCTCTCTCTTTTCCCTGGAAGAGAGACCCCCTATAATAGAGTCCTTAGTATCAAATAATGCATCAGCCTATAACAGTAATACTGATTTTCATTATGTCTCCCACAGAGCAAGCAATCTTTCCAGCCACCAGAGTTTGGTCACTGGAGAAATGCAGCCTGAGATAATACAGGTGTATGCATCAGGGTAAATGACTGATACACAACGGATTTCCACATTCCCATGATGCTAGGCTGTTGTGATGCTCCTAGATGAGGAGCGGAGCTGTACACGAGCACTCGGAGGAGAAGCAGATTTCAGTGCTGATCTTTCTGTGATCACCAGAAGGTAAGCTTCATTTTAAGTCTGGTCTCAAACACTGAAGCTCCCTTTAAGCTGAGATTTTGAAATTCATCCTGGCCCTCTCATTATGGAAAAAAAAAAGAACTTCAAAACTTAGTATTTTTGTCACAGAGAGGTAATTGCACTGATATTTTCTCACTCTGTTTTGTTTTCCATCTGTGGACATGTAGGACACGAAACTTCAAATTTGGAGAAAATAAGCCATTTTAGGTCACTACTTCAGTTTTTAAGCTTTAGGCAAGGCACCTCTCAAAGGGAAGCAAATACATAGCAGACATAGATGCTGCTTGTCACTGTGAGCTAACAGGTGAGCTGCAGTCAATTAACATAGCCTAGAGGGCTGTACAAAGGGGATCCTCATTTTGGGTGAATGTGAGCACACATACACAGGACCTTCTGCAATAAATAACACTAATTCAGTAACTTGCTAGGATCCAGAACCTGGGAATTATTTAGCTGTCAAAGAGTAAAATCATTGGAAGAAAAGTGTCTTAAAGCACCACGGAAGGTGCTTTAGGCATTTCAAATTGCTGAGTATCACATTATTGACACCACTTTCTCTCTGAAAAGCACACTATGATCTTTTCCAGCCTTCTTCTAAAAAGAGTTTCCATGTTCAAAAGCAAGAATCTCATGGAGTTTGTGAGGAATTCTATTATTGCTAATAATTTTCCAAGGCAGGTTCTTAGAGCCTATGGCAGGCAATTGTAAGTCTTCATTTAGGCATAAAGACTTAAGTCACTACTGTAGTTAAGTCTCATCCTAAGTATACCTGTGATGCTCCAATCAGAGGACAAGTCAGTGCTGATGAAATGTCTGCAATGCTGAGGAACAGCACAGTGATTGTGAAGGCAGTTTAGGTCAATGATTATGAAATTCTGCACCCAAAAAGACATACAGATAATCTATATAAATCTTTAAAGCCCTCACAAGATAGAGTTTAAAATGATCTAATACCAGGCTAATGCTTTCCTCTCAAAGAAGAGAACACACTGCTTCTGAGCAAGAGCTATAGGCAAGCCTCAATTCATTTCTTTCCAGCTAGTCACAATGTAGTGGGCCACTAATCAAAGCTTTTCTTCCCTTTACTCAAGCATCCACCTAACAAAAGGCTGCTTCCAGGACAGAGAAACTGAAAGACCAGAGGGATGTAAGTGTCCGAAATCTTCCATATTTCGTCAGGTTCTCAGGTGGAATAAAAACCTCACAGATTTAAAGCCCTCTAAGAAACCGGCACTTGACTCAACAGCCTGAGTCACTTTGAAATGTAACTCGGATGAACTATCCTCAGCACACTGTGATGGAAAGCTGCTGCTTCTCTCTTACCTACCACATTAATGCTGCGCAGAACCTGGATTAGCACAGGTTGGAAAAGCAACAGGATTTGAAGAAAAAGCTGGGAGGCTGACCATCCTCTCCATTGTAATCCATGAAGTGCTTT